CAACACAGACAAACCGTAGATACATGGGGGGGGGGTAGCAAATACATACATCCCTGCATGCATGCATACATGCGTACATACATTCCTGAACAAGTATATACCTGCCGATACAGAGGTACATGCATACATACGTACATACATACATACATGCATACATGCATGCAGGCATACGTGCATGTATACATACATAAATGCGTGCATACTCACACAAACATGCACACGCACGTACGTACATGCAAGTTGCCCTTCACTCTTGTCGAAAATACTTACCTCCTGAGCTTCTCACAAAGGAACGGAAACTCCACGACCGGCATCTACGCAAGCTCAACAAGTTCTTGCACACCATAGAAAAGGATCCGAAGGCCTGCTCCTCATGGGTTAAGGGTTTAGGGTTTAGGGGTTTAGGGTTAGGGTTTAGCATTTAGGGGTTTAGGATTTAGGGGTTAGAGTTTAGGACATATCGTCTTGCATTAGGATCTCGGGAAGCACATGGGCTTAGGGCTTCGGATGTAGGGAGTATCCGGCACTGGGGATTAAGGCCTTGCGATGGGGCTTTGCGCTCAAGATGAGGGGTGTTTGTGTCGGGGTTAGGGTGTAAGTTGTCAGTTTTGAGGGCTTTTCTTTATCAGCTGCGCCAACTAGCCGAAAGTTTGCGGGGGGGCTAATGGAGAGAAAGAACTAGAGCTTATATGCATTTCCTAGGGAACCTTTTGTGAATCACGAAAAGTGTTTTCTGAATCTATTAGTGGCCATAAGCTAGTATAGTGTATGCTATTAGTGAGAGATGGAGACAGCACAAAAAAGACAGAAGAAAAGAAGTCCCTCAGATATGAGTTTAGGGTCTAGGAGGTTTCAGTTTGAATCAGTCAGTTACACCCGGCGCTTGAAATTCAAAACTGCAGCCGGGCCGAAGCCGAAGCGGCAGCCAAATCTGTAATGCTTCTGTCGACAGGCCTTCGAGGCACACATTGCGGCACAGCGGCACGAGATTGACGAGCCTTGGTTGGCCCTTCCAAGGGAAATAACACCACCGTTCTCAATCATTGCGAGGTCTGAACCCGCAACCCAGAACCCGAAACCGTTTGGCTGTTTTGGTACGTGTGGTGAGGGCGAGTTCATTGGTGAAGCGCCATGCTACGCTCGCAAAACAATGATTCACATGTTGATTCCGAGTCCGACGACGCGGGTGGAGGGTGTTTGCCTCCGCGACGACGACGTGAGGCGACGCCGATGGCAAAGCAAAGTTAGCCATCCACAGCCGTTGTTGTGAAGTACGATGAACAGCGACAGTGATACTGACAGCCATCATGCATACAGGCAATGGCAATCGCAATGGTATTCTGCATGGTATTTTTCGTGACGGCAAGAACTGCATGGATCCAATGGAAAGACAAGCAATGAACAGTGACACTAGCCACTAAGCCATCTTTGAGCCAATCCCGATTGACCTAGTTGCATCCTTTCATTCCCACAGCAACACGGCAAGCGGCAGAGGTCAGAGGTTCCCGACATCTGAGGACAGCCCGTCACTTGATGATGACAGCAGCCAGGAAACAGTCAACCTCTCGCTCTAATGTAGGGGTCTTAACACTTACCCATAGTACTTTTGGGGGGTTCCTTACTACGCTTATAGTAGAACATACCCCAAAACCCTATTCTAATTATTAAGGCCCCTACATTAGGCTCCTAGCTAAACACCTTTCGTTGCTGCTTGTAAGCCGCAGGCGTTTCGCCTTTTAACTGCAAACGGGTGAGCGAAAATCCCGCAGAATGGTCTTGCAAGTCGCAGAGGCTGCTGGTCGTAGAGTCCTTTGCAGAACCCGACAGAGGTACTGGCCCATCCTTGTAGATGAGAAGAAGAGTAAGGCATCTCTGCGAATGTGTAATGAGGCACGCTGTAAGCCTCGTTGGCCTGGGGTGATTCGCACAATCACCATCCAACCGTACTAGGCATGGCACCCCGAGGTTGGATAGGAACCGCTGAGGGAAACCATGCTGCTGTTCTGCATGGTGCATTTCATCACCACACATAGGAAGTAAAGTCTGTACTGTTGAGGTGCCGCAGACAGAAGCTACAGAAGAGCTCATAGCTTTCCCCAGCCCGCTCTAACTTCTAGGGAAAGGGCCCCATGCAGGTAAGTGGAAGATTTTTCAAGGCAAGGGCAAGTGGCTCCCGTGTTGTGGGTCCACGATGCCTAGTAAGAGAGAGTCCTTTCAGGGCCCCTCTGGTCGCCCGGCGCATGGTGCCCGGACACATGATGGCAGTTTCACCCCTCAAAATGTATCCTCTTAGCATTTTAGCCGCACGCCCTCGCAGTGAGGCTTCGGCTTTACATGATTCTCCTGGAGCCGGAGAGGCATGATCGTGAGTTCTCATACCCCGTTTCAAAAGGCGCAAGGCAGAGCGCCTCTCCCTCTCCGAAGCTCTTCGACACCTGTTGCACTCTACTACGGGAGCCGAAGCGAATCTGAGCGAGTCCATCGCGGCGGGATCTAGATCTGGGTAGTGCTCTAAATTAGGGTCCCTTTTTAGGTGCCCCCAAAATACGGCACCCTTATAATAAGGACCCTAAAAGGGACCCTAATTTAGAAAGCTACCCATCCAGGGATCTTGATGCACTTGTCCATGTGGAAGAGTCTCAGCAACCCTGGAAGCAACTTCTTAGTTCCCCAATATTAAACTTGTAAACTTGTTGGATTCTTATGATTTCGTAGTAATCTGAAAATTTAACCCTTTTTTTCCTGGCTTATTGGGGAAGTAAGACTTTAGAGCCACGAAAGGAAGACTCTTCGGATCAGATTCGTGGACCCTCTTGATTTTCTCTCCCCCCCTTTTCAGCCTCAGGCCCTGTCGCCTCGAGGGCTGGAGCTTTTCGGAGGTGCCAAATCCATGTTATCTTTGGGGCCCGAGTCTGGCCCAACATCTTTCGGCCCGGGCTTGGGATTTGGGATTCAGGATTATAATGTAGGGGCCTAAACAAGTGCCTATACTATTTTGGTGGTTCCTTAATATAATTATAGTATAATGGGCCCCAAAGCCCTATTCTAATTATTAAGGCCGATCAGGGGGTTGAGTTTCGAATTCTAGCATGCGGGATCCTTACGACTCTGAGGTGAAGCCCGATATCACAAGCCCGATGTCGCCGTACGCGCAGGTAATGAGAGCGCTTCCGCCAGCGAACAGAAGTATAGAGTAGAGCAGTTTCAAGTTGTGGGGTTTTGCCGTTGTTTTCATAGTGGTGTGTTTTGCTGTGTTCCACACGCCTGTTGTTGATTCGTGGCACTGTTCCTATGGTCACTCTGGCTGCTTGCCATGACAGTAAGGCAGCAATATTGATAGGACTGACATATACTGGCATTGAGGTACGGCGTTGCCTGTTCACATGCATATCTCCAAGTGCATGATCAATGTATGATCAATGTGGTTGCTTTGGGTGTGGCTGCTGTGCCGGTGCTGGTGGTGGGGGCGGCCATGGTTCTGGTGGTAATGACGGTGGTCGTGGTGGGTGCTTGCAAGTGACAGGATTCGGTTTGTTCACCTGGTGGTGTTTGTACTTGGTGTCAGGACCCATATATGACTACGTAGTCTTTCATATTATCGCCTTGTAAGCATGGCTGAGAATAGAAGTCGTGCTCGTTGCTTCCACCTTTTGCCCTTGATGTGATAATGACACGACTCCTGCTATCTCTCTGTTCGATCCGCACATGTGAGCGCTGCTGCTTCAGTTATCACCAACACATGGTTTTTGCTTATTGGTTCCCGTTCGTACATCGAGCCAGAGACATGGCAACAACAAGATTATTGGCAGCCCTACTACATGTGTCATCCCAGCAGTGGAACACCTGCATTCATACTAGTGCCACCATATTACTCTTACCATGCTGATGATTCTGTTGTTAATGATGATACCAATCATAATTGTCACCATCATGCTGACCTGATCGCGGCAATGATCGCTAGTTTGTCCTGGCACCACTTTGGTTGACAATGTGTCCGAGCAAGGTACCACGACTGCCACTTCTCGCTGCTAGACCTCTTCTGCAGGTATCATGTCCTGGTGCATAGGTCCTGATGCTGGCTCTTCTCATGATAAGCAGGCAAAAAACATGGCGACTAATCTGCAGGCTTTGCCACTTCAGGATGTAGTTTCGAAGGAACAAAAGGTGGGAAGAGGGCTCTCCGGGCAGAGAGAGCGGGGTTGCCTGTGTCTCTCGGATTTCTGCGCATCATCTCCTCTGACGAAGGAGGACAGCCCGCAGTTTTTAGGGCTGCAAACTTCGTTATGCCCGATCTCGGCAGCACTCGCCGCAGATGTGGACTCAGCTCTATGAGTCGAAAAAAGGGTGTTGCATGCTGGGGCTTCCGGAGAAAAGTCTCAACATAGATTTGAGCTCATTTTCAAGGGCCTCCCAGCAAGCATCTTACAAAGAGGTGGGTCACCCAATTCTCGGCAAATCCCATAGGTTCCGGCTCTTGTTTCAGGTTCGGTTTAGGGTTTAGGGTGGGTTCCATGATCAGCTCAGGTCTTCTCACTTTCTCATCATCTACTTCCACAGCAACGCGGAGGCCAGTGTGGATGTTCCGTTTTGGATGCTGTGACTGTGTCTGTGTGAACCAGACGTGTCACTCTTACATTCTTCTTCTGGTTCCGATCCGACATCTTGAGTCCGGTTCCTGGTAAACCTGAGAGACGGTGTGGACAGTCGATCAAACCTGGACAGGACCTCGGAGTTTGCCGCTGGTTTGCTGACTTCCTGCACGAGCAATTTCAGGCGCAAGCAGCATCTCTCATCAGTGGAGTTTCGCGCACAGGTGCATTTCTTCGCAGGCTCTCTTTGCTATTTGCAGCCATGTCGATTACATCATCTGAGGCAAATCGACCACGCACACACACACACACACAAATGTGGCCCGATAAGACCACCATCGTCGTCATCGTTGCCAGAATCGTCATCATGACATCCTGGCCAGTAGCTCGCTGCCAAGGGAGTTAAAAAAGCAACGACCATCCTTCGATCGCATCTCCCTATGCTGTTTAAGCTTCGCGTCATCCACAAACCGTTCATGATTAGACGTGTATCTGAGGGCCAGCTTAGACTGCTACAGATCCTAACTCCTTATTCAAAGGGCCGGCGCAGAGTGGAAGGTGCATGTCCTGGCTGTGGAATACCCTGGCTATGGTGCCCGGGGCTTACAGGAAACACGATCCGATGAAGGGCCTGAAATTAGGGGGGGGGGGGGGGGCTTTGGGTGGAATTTAGGGATCGTGAAGGGCCTTTGTTTGGGCTTCCGGGTTTAAGATGCAGGGCTGGGCCTGGTCTATGAGTAGTCACAAAGGAACGTGTAGTGCTGGCAAATGACAGACAGGTGAAACAAGAGAAGGGGAAGACGGACACCTGTCAGCTGTAAGTGTACTACCACACCCCAACACTGAAGGTCACAGGCAAGCAGCTTACGACAAGCCACGTCTTCACGTTCGCCAGCGGTCGGATGCACAACATATTCATTATGAGTTTCGGCAAGTTGGATGTTTGATTTTGTTATACGAACTGCCGCGTGCCGGGCTCGCTGCCGGAAGGCGAGACGGCAGCACCTCACAGCCAACACAAGGAAAGCACCAAACCTTGAGATTCAAGCATCCTCAGCGTGCCGGCGGCCCTAACCACCCTAGGGCCCAGGGGCAGGGCCTACCAGCCCTAAACCTGAAAACTCTTAGCACCCCAAAATCATTTATAGATTAACATCCTGAAAGATAAAACTTCGCGAAGTCGAAGCCCAAAACGAAGGCTTTGAGCACGCAGTCTTGGGGCTTTGTTGCTTGCATCCAGGTGTGTCCTGGAAAGACGACCCCGGAGGCCGGGACGAGTCTCCACTGTCAGCAGACTTCGAGGGATATTGGTTAATGTAGGGGCCGAAATAACTACCTATAATTTTTTGGGGGGGTTCCTTCTTATAGTTGTAGTATAATATACCCCAAACCCCTATTCTAATTCTTAAGGCCTCTAGATTATGAGTGCAGAGAGGCTCCTGGCCGCAGGGATGGGAAAAGGACCTGCCAGAAAGCTCACGAAGCCTATATAAACCCTAAGCCCTAAACCCTAAAACCCTAAACCCTAAAACCCTAAACCCTAAACCTAAAAACTTCAGCCTGTGGTCTCGAACCGACCCTGGGCCAGGGTGTCATCGCCAATGCGCATGCAGCTCTCCAATTTGCTACCAAGGCTGCAGACATGGGGTTTAAGGTTTAGGGCTTTCGGGTTAAGGGTTTAGGGTTATAGGTTTTGGGGTTTTAGGGTTTTAGGGTTTAGGCTTTGTGGGCGAGCAACAGTGACAGAGTGATACATATACACGTACACAGCACGTCTAGGCAGAGGCCTTGCGCCGGAACGCAAGTGCAAGTCCAGGACGAGCCTACGATTCCAGCTGAACACATCTCAACTCCCACGAGTCTTCAGATCGAACCCTTCCCTTGCAGTCTTCTCCCTCAGCGAGCACAGTACTGGTACCGAAGTTGTTGCTGCCGTTAGTTCTCAGAGGTTTAAGGTTAAACAGCGACAGCCTTTGCACCGTGATGCTTACCGTCATGGTGGCAGCAGCTGTCGCAGCAACAGCCATCATCATGATTCATGTGCAGGGTTCATAGCAACAGCAGAATCAGTGTACTATCGAAACGACAGGGACAATGGCATCAATACGTCATAATATTCATGCAGTATTACAGTATGGATACAAGACTAGTATGCATCGCACTCGTAGTACAAGTACCAGCAGCGACAGCAGCAGTGGTAATGCCAGTGCCAGTGCTGGGGACTGGTGCTCCTAGTGCTAGTGCTAGTCTAGAGACGGAGGCAGAGGCAGTGGCAACAACAACATGATGCATGAGGTGTAAGAAAATGAAAGCAGAAGCTGGGCACTTGCCAGACTGCTCGCTTGCAGCTCGGGAGAAGTGGGGCTCACAGGGCTGGCGATAAAGATGCTTCGAGGCTTGGGATTCGTTCAAGGTGTGGGATCGAGCTCTGCCCTCGAAGCCACAAGACCAAAGCCGACCCATGCTCCAAAGCCCTCAAAGCTGTAGAGCACCCAAACCTAGAGGCCAGCTGCCCCAAGCTCTGCAAACTCTGAGGCCTTTCTTTGCTTGTAAACCCCTGAAGCGATTTCGTGCGGCTTCCTCCTTGCTGTGCGTGAAGAAGACGTGTTTATTCTTCTTGTCTGTTGGCAAAGGCTTTACCTTGCATTGAATTTACTTTCTCCGCTTAAGCTGAAGCGATTGCTTGTGGCTGTCGGCCCCAGCCCTGAATCCCCCAGGAAGAAACAGCACAAACACGTCACCTTATCATGGACCCACACCCTGAGACCCTCAACATATCGCTGGACCGGATACTCGTGCCGGGCTCAGGATTCGTTTACGTGTGTGCCTTTATTTACCCTTGTTATGACTGGGAGTTGCTATCATCGGTTATTGCATCTCGTGCTGTGAGTGTCATTTCTGCTAAATTCATGTTGATTAGGTTCTTCCATTGCGGTGCTTAACGTTACGATCATGTTCCTTGCCGCTGGTGTCATTTTGCCGATCATCATCAGGGTCAGTATTGTTACAATCAAGACTTGCATAGCCGTACATGTTCGCTCTCCATTTGCCGTTCTCTGTCTCTCAATTATCGAACGTTTTGACAACCGATCGATATGTTCCTTATTTCGTTGCCCGTGTGTGGCACATTCTTTAGTTCTTCGCAGGACTTGACATGTGACACGGGTCACATGCCGATCTAGAGGTGTGAGCATATATGCATGCATGTAGATAGATGGTTAGATCGACAGTACGGATAAACCCAGCCTGAGTGCGGCCGTCTCGGGCAGTCTATGATTCAGCCATACACCCGGTTGAGGGTTTAGAGGTTGGGGGGCCAAAGTGGCTTTTAGGTCAATTTTCGCGACGGCGCATATGAGCGAACCATCACCAGCGGGCTAAACTAAATCCTACAGAACCCAGATCCTGAAACCCTAAAACAACCTAAGCCTTAACCCTGAAAGTTCGACCCTCAGCCCTAAACCCCTGACCCCTAAAGCCACAAACCTCTAAGCCGACGCTTCCAGGTCTTCGGTCGCAGTTTAGGAACCGGTCCGGCCATCGATCTTGCGGCCAGGCAGTCCCGCGATAATGAGAATATTAATAAGTAATAAGTAGGGAGAACTCGAGTGGTCATACTAACAGTAGTCGTCGTCGTCGGAGAAGTACTCGTAGGTAGTTTTTTCAATTGCAGTAATATTCGTAGAAGCGGGGCCGGTTGTTGCTGACAGCTGGTCTCGGGTTTGAAGTTGGCCGGTGGCTGGGAATCTGAGATGTGCTGCTGCCTGATCCGGATTCCCGAAAGCTCCGGAACATCCTGCGATGGCTAGTTGCCACGGAGTGTTTCAGTTGCTTCGTAAGAGCATGGTCGCATGGGCTCCCCAAGGGCATCCGGAACGCATATGATTTTTCAGATAGGTCTCCCCTCATTGTTTGCACTTAGGTGTTCGGAGTGCTACATTTTGTTTGCAGCTCTTCTTGTCTCGTTGCTTCGCGTTCCCATGGGCCTACAGCCCCTGTGCTCTGCTGATGTGCCTGCCGCCTCTTGGCAATGAGAGTCGAACCCCACAAGTCCCAGTCGCGCCCTCCGGCTGTCACTGCGGAATCTCCGTTGGTGGATCGAAGCCTGTTTCTACTACAACCATGGTTGCATACTCCTATGTGGGTGGTTGTCAAAATTATGCCCCTTTTTGGGTCCTTATTATATTACGGCACCTATTATTTAGGGTACCCCAAAAGGGACCATAATTTTGATAACTACCCATATATCCAGAGAGGACGGGAGATAAGAAACTCTTGCCTGCAGAGTCTGTTCCAAAAGTTTGCCCCGTGTTGGTGCTCGGCTTTAGAGATGGGAGCCTTCAGTTTCCAATTGCAAGTAATGTATTATAGAATTTCATTTTGACGATCGTTTACTGAAGATCTATTACTAATGAGTAAGTACTATATAAAAAAACACAGCAGGTTGAAGCGTCTTCATGTTGAGCCCTATGCCTCGAGTGACCCTTGCGTCTTATCCTCTACTGGGAGTGCTGCAGTTTCTGGACATGGTCAAACCATCACCATGCTCCCGAAATCTACTAGAGCCTTGCGGCCACGGCCCAACAACTCAGAGTCTGCGCCCGCAGACGCCCTGAAACCCTTAAGCCTGAACCCGACAGCCTAACACCCTGAAGCCTTGAGCCGTCGTTCAGCTTGTGCCGCAGGCACCGGGTAGCCGGGCTCGTCCTCATCACGCCGTTCACCAGCGTGAAGGAGGTTTTCCGAAGCCGTGCCAGAAGCTCAGCTTGAAGTGTCGATTGGCCTCAGAGATGGGGTTTGGCTTCGGGGGTCTTGTTGTTTGGGTTTCAGGGTGGGGGTTTTCGGGTTGAAGTTAAATGGAGCAAGCCTCGGAAGCATCAAGCAGCGCTGAGTTCAGAGGGTTGAAGAGCTGACGACAAGCTGCATGTCCCGAAGGTGCTCCGAAGCAACACTGGCACAAATCTTTCCACTCGCTCAATCGTCCTCGGGTAGCGATGTGGAAGAAGCTGCCTGGTATTCATGAGCTGAGCACAGCCTTGCAGAGCGCCCAGCTGGCCATCGGAGGAGAACGACTGCAGACAGTAGGCATAGAGAGACGGGCGTCGCCCGCTTTCGTAGCTGCAGAATGTATGTTTCTGCCTTCCCCGAGGAGACCCGGTGGCTGCCCGAGCCAAACTGACGGAGTACATCGATGCCTCCATCCTCGGCTCAGCCGTGGCTTCCGGGGTACAGGCATGCCGAGGAAATTGGCGAGAAGCTGAAAGGCTGGGTCGAGGAAGTGGAGATGTCCTTGGAGGCCCGCAGGGTACAGAACATCTAGGACTCATTGTTCATCTACTGGCATCCGTGGTAGAGAGAAGCTAATGGTGTGATCATTGTAGGTCACGTTGATCCTCCTTCCTGCTCGCCCACAGCATGTAGCAATTGCGAGCTGTTTTGGTTTGACGACGTTTAAGCTGAAAGAGCTGCATGCTGAGCGCGGTGTTGAAGCGTCAAAGACAATAAGCCGGCTCATGCAGTCTGCATGAAGCATGACGTAGATATTTTACAAAGCAACTTGCAGAAATTACATACCGCAGAACGATTGTTGTAGGAGTTGCGAGCTTGTGCCAGCAAGCACATGCCAATAGCACTAGGTCAAATCTACGTGGTTTGTCAAGTAGGTTAGGGCGGATCGGGAGTGTTAGAGTCGCTCTGAGCACTTTCTAGGGAACAAGCTCTGTTAATTCCCGCTGCAGAAGCAACTAGGACGTCGCAAGTTCGCAGGACAATATAGTTACGATGCAGCACCAAGAGGTGCAGGCAAGGGTTCTTGCGGCATGCGGACCTCAGGTGTGGTGGAGTCCGTGGGTGAGGGAAGGTCCCACTATTCGAAGGGGATTGCCTGCTGTGGACGAAGTCTTCGGTGTGTCGCACGTGATGATCCTGCTGGGGGAAACGCTGTCTGGACCGAGTTGTATCGGTCGGACAGCGTGTTGGGCTGCATGGCCGTCGCTTTATATGAACGATGCCGAGGTGGCGATTGGCATCAGCACATGGAGCAAAGTGGCAGGGCATGGCAGGAGGCGCAGCCCGGTGTCGAGAAAGTGTGCCTTGTGGCCGGGGTACTCTTCCGAGCTTTGAGCCTGGAAGGGCTGGGTAAAACAGCAGCAGTTGCTGTCGCAACTTCGCCCTTGTTCGAGGCGCTGGACTTGCCAATGACCAGTGCAGCGCTGCGAAGACTGGCAGCAGCGGCTGGATACTACTAGTTTGTGGTTCTGCAACCTAGCGTGTACGCCTGTAAATGATGTACTATGCAGACCTGCGCATTTAAGTGTATTGCATCAATATTCATACTTACATACACAGAGAGAGAGAGAGTACTGGGTACTATATCACATCGTAATGCATTGACCACAGCAGTGTCAGTAGTGCTTCATTGCCCGCAGCCGAGCGGTGAGAAGGGCTACGGCTTGCGGAGCAGACTTTTTTTGACGTGCCGGAGACGAAAATATGAGCTGCTCTGCAGGATCGCAGGGCATTTGCGAAACCCAGCGCTTGAGCCACCTGCTCTCAGTAGGATCCAATAGGTAGGCTTTTCGTGCTTGCGTGCTTGCCAGCCGCAGCTCAGGTCGGGAACCTGGCAGATGTCCTGCCCAACGACTGGTTCCAGAACTTAGAGGCAATCAAGCTTGTGGAAGCCTCAGAAGATGCCGGAAAAAAAAACCAGCCAAGCCTAAACCCGCGAAATTCCTGAGCCCTGACACTTCCCCCTCGGAAATCCCCAAGAAGCCCTATAAACCCCTAAATTCCTTGCCACTTCTGCTTTGCCTCAAAGGTCCGGTCTCCCACTCTTGTGGTTCACGGGAAGGTCGATGATCTGATCCCACTGAGCCATGGAGAAGCCGGGAGCTCTCAGCGGGCATCTGTCCTTGCACATCCTGGCAGGTCCTTATGGGTTTAGGGTTTTTTTACCCAGCTTCAAGGTAAGACTGCAAGTGCTTCCTGTCATCTTTTCGATTCTTGTTGCTGTTGCAGATACCAGCCATGTTGTTGTAGCAGTCAGCCGGCCTGCATCTCCGCTGCTGTGACGTTCCGGGTTCGGTGGTTCAAGGCTCTTGAGGCGAGCCTGTGGCTACCGGTAGGTGCTGACCTTGCTGTCGTTGAAGCAGTTGCAGGCTTCAGGCTTCCAGGCCAGCCATGAGCTTCTTTTTCATCGTCATCACAATACGAATCATCAGCGTCAGCGCCGGCCTCATCCACATCGTCATGATCAGTGCCATCAACGCCGAAATCTTTATTATCACGGTCAGCAGCCAAATCATGATGATCACAGCATCGGCATCCTCGTCAGTATAGTCATGACAGTCCTTGTCGAACCCGCCGACAACTTTCTGAAACATGTTGCCGCCCGATCCGATCGCAGCCAGCTGGCCAAAAGAGCAAGCAGCCGCACTTTTGGACGAGTGGCGAGCGCAAAACCTCCGGGCTCCTTCCCCTAGCCCTAGCCTATGCTATTCGTATAATTGGTATTGTGGTGCTGTACTAATAAATTATATTGTTATGATATCATCAAAACTGTGTTGTGAATGGTGTACTGTTTCATTATCGTCAGAATATAGACAGCCTTTCCAGCACGGAGACCGCCTCGACTTGACTTGGTGCACTCCTGCTCCACGGAGGGGATGTCGCCCCTCGACCATCAGGGGTAATGTAGGGGCCTGAATAATTACCAACACCATTTTGGTGGGGTTCCTTATTATAATCTTCTCTATAACCCAAAGCCCTATTCTAATTATGAGGCCCTATTCTAATTATAAGGCCCCTATATTAGCATCAAAGTTGCTCCTCGGGACTTTGGACCTTGGTCATGTCTTGAACTCAGACTTTAGCTTCGACGCAACCCCAGATCCGCCTTGGGGCTCTTAGATGTGACTGGGGAGGCTCTAAGCATCTAATGTCCGGGCCTTTATAGTTTCCTTTTCTGTTACGGCGGCTCTTTATTATAATGATGGTATAGAATACCCCCAAAACCCCTATTCCAATTGTTAACGCCCCTAGACCCTAAACCCTTACAGTAGCCCTTATAGAGCCCTTTAAGGAACCCCGAAACCCTATTAAAATCTGTTCAGGCTCCTATATTACACCCCAAATCGAGGATCCCTGGGCCATGCTCGCAACCGAACACTGAACCCGGAGCTTTGTGTCTAGGCTTAAGGTACTCGGTGTAATATAGGGGCCTGAACAATTAGAATAGGGTTTCGGCGTATAGTATACTATATACATAAGATAAATTAAGAACCCCCATAATAGTATAGGTGCACTCCCTTGACCCGAAAAAACCCGAGAGTTCGGGGGCGCTTTGGAATTTGTTGCTTCGGCTTGGGCTTCGAAGCTCTCAAATCTTCGGTGGGGGACCGGAGCATGGCTTCGATGCTGATCTAAAGGGGAGTTTCCGAAAATAAGGGGTCCCTTATGTAGGGCCTCCTACTATCATAAGGATCCTACCATTTAGGGTACCATACTAGGGTCCCCTCTATTTAGGGAAACCCCCCAAAAAATCTGAAGCTCCTAGAAGGTCCAAGTGGTCACAATGGCACACAAGATGCTTAAAGCAACTACTGTGTTTAGGGTTTAGGGCTTAGGGCTTTAGGGTTTTAGGGTTTAGGGTTTTAGGGTTTAGGGTTTTAGGGTTTTAGGGTTTAGGGTTTTAGGGTTTTAGGGTTTTAGGGTTAGAATCCAAGGAACATTCAGATTCCCTTCATGGCCAGTCGTCAGCAGCTCCATGAGGCCTCGGCGGGTTTAGGGGTTCTTGGGCTCAAGTTGCGCTAAGCTTGTGGCGGTTCTGTGGATACCAGGGTTTTTGGTTCAGGGTTACCAGGACATGGGAGTTTTGGGCCTTGAGGATCGGGTAGCTACGGGGGGCGTTAGGCAGTTAGGCTCCCGGATTCCTGGCTCAGCCATTTTCTTCGTCCCCTGCGTTGGGCTTCCCAAACTGTCGGAACTGGAGCAGGCAGCTGCGCAGAAAGCTACTCTTCCTGAAGCCCCCTGGCTTTGAGGCTTTATGCAACGCGAAGGGTCCGAGGATACAGCGATGTAGAGGTTTCGGCTTTCCGGCGCAGGGCTGCTGTGCAAAGAGTTCGGAGGCTGCAAAGCCACCAAAAGCTTCTTGTTATGGTAAAATGCTCGAAGGCAGTATTGCAGGTTGGAAATCGCATCGTGTGTTCGGCACGAGAGGCCAGGAGCATAGCATTGAGCATGTCATGGCTCAGGGCCTCAGTAGGGTGCCCTCACGCATGCGACTTCGCGTAACGACGGACATTCAAGACGCATTGAGGTTACCCTGTTCCCTGTCTTTGTATCGTACCTTGTAGGCACAAGCCCCAGATACCCGAAACCCCAAACCTAACGCCCTAAACCCCAAATCCTAAACTCAAAGACAGTCGAACCCATATCTATCTACAAAGACAGACACAGGTACACATGTTTATCTCTGTATATATGTTTGTGTGTGTGTGTGTGTATTCGTATGCATATACATGTATCATAGATTCACGTAGTTGTTTGGTTTTATCTGTTCATGTTTTTTCAGTACTGATATGTTGGGTTTTACGGACATTGAAAAAGTATGTACAACACGCTGCTGCCTTTAATTTATGACCGATTCAGTGCATCAGCCCTGAACCCTATCAGTCCGGATTCCTCTACATTGGTGCAAATGGTAGCTGAGGATGTAGCTCTTCCGAAGCAGCTGGAGGCTGCACTGCAGAAGTTGCGACCTTCGTGAGAGTGACGGAAGAGTTTCTGTCGATTCGGGGTTTGGTTCTTCCGCGATTCTTCCGCCCTTTTAAGCCCAACTGCTTCTGGATAGCAGCATGATCCGCGTTTCGGGCTAGATTCTCTGGTATTTCTCAGCTTGTCTTGCCAAAGATTCACGGCAACAGCGGGATGGCTCCGGTTTGTGAGTCAAGCGCTTCCAAGCGGATTCATGAAGAAAGGGGCAAGCTGTTAATGCATGTGTTACGGCTACTTGCGTCCGAGCTCCAAATGTCGCCTTTCACAGAAGCCGAGGTTTCGGACACAGCTACCTTGTACCACAAGCCCTGAACCCCAAACCGCCAGGTGCGTCTACAAGACGAGCGGGGTCTTTGGACGATCGCATTGGAGCAGTCCGAGGTTTGGCCGGCAGCTAGAGTTAAATGAGGAATAAGTGGGACTAGAGCTGATTAAGTGGATGGATGGATAGAATGTTGACGATGAGGAGAAGAAGCTGGTGACTATGAGTATGATCATGATATGATGTCTCCGATGATGATGATGATGATGATGATGGTGGTGATGATGGTGATGATGATAATGATTGTTCTGATGCTTGTGATGATGATGGTGGTGATGATGATGATAGTGGTGGTGATGATAATGATAGTTATGATGATTGTGATGATGGTGGTGGTGATGGTGATGATGGTGGTGGTGATGATGGTGGTGATGATAATGATAATTCTGATGGTTGTGATGATGGTGATGATGATGATGATGACCATCATGGCATTCATGCGTTGCAACGACAGCGACGAAACGATGATGGCCTTGGTTGCAACATGGCCTTCGCGCCTCCGCATGCTTGCGTCACCGGGGGCATAGACTAGAATGCAGTTCGGCTTGGCCCAGGTGGGTCAAGCGGCACTTTGGTGAGTCTATGCTCGTCTCCGGAGTGTTCCGGGCCAGCTTTATCAAGCTCGCCCTAGGTGTTGAGTCTGCAGCCTTTCTGGGGCCAGCGGGCGTGGGTCGTTCTCGAACGGGATCACCATGGATGCTTCTGGACCGGATGCCGCAAAGAGGAACGCTACTAGCTGGGCGGCGGAGCAAGATGATGCTCCTAACGGTGCCAATAGAAACGCGTCTGCTGCCAGTCCAGAGTGTAAAGAGCTGCGGAGCCAAGCGAGGAGCAGGAGGCAGGAGGGGGCCACTTCAGCAATGTTGTCATGGAGTCGAGAAGACCCACACACACATTGGCATCTGAGCCTGTCGAGCAGGCTATCAAAGAAGGGGGTCGGCTGCTTCCACACCCACCGAGCGCATTGGCGATGAATTTGCCAGCGCTCGAACCTGAGAAAGAAGTGCGAGCAAAGATACCTAAAGGCAGTGCATGTGCAGAAGACACTCAAACCCGATAATTAAACGTGAAAGAAAGAGAAAGACTAGAATGGCAACAAAAACTGAAAGAAAACCCTGCGAGCGGTGGGGTATTCAATCGGCAAAGACAGCA